AATTAACTGCAATGGCCTCGCTCGGAAGAGGCCATTAATCAAAAATCTCCTAAATTCGGAAAATCTACAAATATTGTCTCTTACCGACACTAAGTCAAAACTTCCCCCCAGCTTCACTGGGTATCAAACAGTCCATTTAAATAAATCCCAAAACTCTTTTGGGAATGCACTTTTAATCAAAAATTCAATTCCATTCAACTCTCACACTTTTCCAGCTCATCTAGCTGATCTTGATATAATAGCAATAGACCTCCCGATAGACAATCCATTAACTATAATCTCGTACTATAACCGCCCAGGCCAAATCATCTCCCTACCACTGATAGAATATCTATCTTCCCTCCCTCGAGCCGTTTTGCTTGGAGATTTGAACTCCAGACATACCATGTTCGGAGATCACGCCTCTAACCCAAACGGAATCCGATTAGCTAATCTGCTCATAGACTTCCCCATATTCAGAGCCTCAAACCGACTTCCCACCTTCGTATCCCACCTGGGATCATCTATCATTGACCACATCCTCCTGACAGACTCCTGTACTGGACTGGTTGCTGATAGATGCTTCATAAGGGTTACGATCACCTCCGATCACCTTCCTTTGATGTTACACACATCTCTACTTGCTCCAATTCCTCCTAGAGCTACCATTCACACCTTCCGCAACCTCAAAAAAGCAGATTGGCCCCTATTTCAGAGAACTATCTCTACTAACATTCCAGAGCAACGCCCGCTCAACTCGCCACAGGACATCGACACCCTAATCGATGAAGTCCAAACATCCATCACCCACGCCGTCGAAACATCCACCCCTATCACTTCAATAAACACAGCCCAAAAAGCCCTCCCCCAATTCATCCTCACTCTCATCTCCCAAAAACGACGCCTGTATAGACAATACGTCCGTACCCACGACCCTGTCATCAAAACAGAATGGAACCGTCTCAACGCCCTGATCAGGCTCCAAATCAACTTGCACAAACAGCAACAATGGATCAATACCACCTCTAATTTGGATCATAGAGACGGCTCCAAGTTTTGGGACAAATTCCGTATAATCACGGGTCAAAAATCCAAAACCCACTCACACCTCCTAATCGACGGTCAAATTCACGCCACCCCCGACGAGAAAGCCCTGGCCCATAAAACTCACCTCGAAGCCACATTCAGAACCCCCGACAACCCCCACTTTGACGAACAATTCAAAATCGAGACCGAACATCACGTCCTTTAGACACTTGCCGCCCCACTCCCCCCTTTGGATGTCGAAAACCCCCTTACCGCCCCATTTACCCCCCAAGACATCCAATACGCCTGCCAAGCAGGCAAAAACACGGCCTCCGGGCCTGACTCCATTCACAGGAGAACACTGAAACATCTTCCTGAAACCATATTTCCTATTCTCACTCTTATCCTAAACTCCTGCCTCTCCTTATCCTATTTTCCACTTGCCTGGAAATCCGCAAACACCATTTTGATCCCCAAACCAGGCAAGGACCCCAAATCCCTAAATTCATACAGACCCATCTCTCGCATATCAGTCCTAGGTAAACTCCTCGAGCTTCTGCTCAAGGAAAGAATCTGGGAATTTTGTGAAGAGAGAAACATCATACCCCAATCCCAACATGGTTTCAGACCCCACCACTCCACCCAGGACGCAATATCTTCCCTTCACACTACCGCTGTCACGGCGGTAAATTCCCAGCAAATCTCCTCAGCCGTTCTCCTTGATGTTCAAAAAGCCTTTGACCAAGTCTGGCATGCCGGACTAGTCAAAAAACTTATGAACATAGGTCTCCCCCCCAAATTTCGAAACTCATACACTCCTACCTCTCAGACAGAAAAATTACAGTCAAAGTGGGCAACTCCTTATCCGAAACATTCACCCCACTAGCAGGAGTCCCACAGGGCTCCGTCCTGGCCCCTCTCCTCTACCTCATTTACACTCACGACATTCCCCCCCCAAACCACCCCACATCCAAATGTCTGCTATACGCAGACGACACAGCTCTAATTTCGGTAGCCAAAAATTCTAACCAACTAAATATTCGAACCCAAAATCTGTTAAACCGGTACTCTCACTGGTGTAGCAGATGGAGGGTCTCATTAAATCCACAGAAAACTCAATTTATCGTCTTCAAACACCCAAATTCCAAAAGAACCTCTCAGAACCCCCAACTCGTAAACGTAAATCTCCTAGGAGTCAGGCTAACTCAACAGACCGAAGTCGACTATTTGGGGGTACGATTTTCTCGTACTCTTAACTGGTCCTCTGACGTCCAACGCACTCTTGATAAGATGCGAAAGCGAGCCAGTCTCCTTGGAGCTTTGTGCGGGCGAATAGGGCGCTGTAACCCAGATACCCTTATCCATACTTATAATTCCTTCATCCGACCCGTTGCCGAATACAGAGCTATACCCTACGGTGTACTTCCCACACACCTGTCCCACAAACTCACCACACTCGAGAGACGTATCCTCAGACGATGCCAATACCTCCCCTATCGCTCCCCCAGCGGAGAAGTCTTTTTAAACACCCCCAACACCCCCAACACCCCCATCCTCACACATTTCCAGTCCCTCAGGAAACAATACGTCTCTCGCACGCTGAAAGGCACAAACACCCACTCCCAAAACACACTTCGTACCCCTTGGCGACCCAACCAACTCCCCCTCTTTCGAAAACCGAAAAGAAAAATGCCACAGCCGAATCTAAAACTCCTCACAGACGCCCAAGACCTCCCCCTCACCGCTGAACTCCAGGATCTGCTGGAATCAGCCCCGCTGAGTATAAGATAAACCTTCCCAAATTACTTAATTAGAAAATCAAAACACATGTACAATATCGTGGTTTAGGTTTTGTGGTTTTTTTCCTAAATCATATTTCCCACCTCATACATGGACCTGTCCAATTATGGGGTTGGAAATAGCAAAATTGGCGATATTCTTGGGGAACAAACCTGCCACACAGGTCCCACACACACGCGCACAAAAGTTAGGAATTAGCTAGCTAGGTTACTTTTGTAATCAGGGCAGACCACCCTGAAAAGGAGGATAACTCCTATAGCAGGGAAATAGGAAAACAATATGTCCTAGAAAATGTAAAATACTTAAGATTTCCACTAATAAATCAAAAAAAAAAAAAAAAAAAAAAAGATCCCCTAGCCTGGTTCTAGAGATGGTATAGTAGGTAATGCAGGGGTAGGGGAAAGGCAGTTCTTCGTCTTTAAAACTTGTGCGCGAGAGTCAGTGTTGCCAGTCTAGTACAATTGTACTGGATTTAGTACATTTTCTGAGAATCTGGTACTCTAGTACACTCGAAACAATATCTAGTACTTTTTTCAGCGTATGTTTCCATTTGAAGTGTAAAATATATTGGTCAAAAATTGCAAGAGAAATTAAAATAGTTGTTAAAAATTGCTTCAGAGATAAAATAGTAGACATTTCTCGAGAGATAAAACATTGTTTAAAAATTGTACGAGAGATCAAATATTGTTCAAAAATGTCTTGAGAGGTAAAAAAGGGCGTTTAAAATTAGTCGAAGTATAAAATAGTATTAGAAATTGCTTGAGAGGTAAAATATTGTTCAAAAATTGCTCTAGGGATAAAAATACTGTTAGAAATTTAATGAGAGATAAATATTTAATAATTTTTTCAGAGATTAAATAGTATTATAAATTGTTAAAATCGTGTTCAAAAATTGCTCAAGGGATAAAATACTATTGAAAAATTTGTTGAGAAATAAAATATTGTTCAAAATTGACTCAAGAGATACCTAGTATTGGAAATTTCTCGAGAGATAAAACATTGTTTAAAAATTCCTCGAACGATAAAATACTATTAGAAAATGCTCGAGAGATAAAATACTATTAGAAAATGCTCGAGAGATAAAATATTATTCTACAAACATTGCTCGAGATATAAAATATTGTTAAAAATTTATCAAGAGTTAAAATATTTTTATAAATTTGTCGAGTTAAAATATTGTGCAGTTTGCTAAAGAGATAAAAAAGTTGTTAAAAATTGCTCGAGAGATAGAATAAATAATGTTAGAAATTTATCGAAAGGTAAAATATTGTTTAAAAATTGTTTAAGAGATAAAATAGTGTTAGAAATTTAAAATTTTGCTCAAAAATTTCACGAGAGGTCAAATATTGTTCAAAAATAGCTTGAAAGATAAAAAACTGTTAAAAATTGCTCGAGTGATTAAATAACGTTAATAATTTTACAAAAAATGTTGTACAAACATTGCACGAGGGATAAAAAAAAGTTGTTAAAAATTGCTCGAGAGATAGAATACTGTTAGAAATTTATCGGAGATAAAATATTGTTTCAAAATAGCTCAAGAGATAAAAACATATTTAAAAACTGTTCGAGAGATAAAAGAGTATCAAAAGGTATTAAAATCTTATTCAAAAACTGCTCGAGAGATAAAATAGTGTCAGAAATTTGTCGAGAGATAAAATATTGTTTAAAAAAGTTGTGTTCATGTTTTCTATAAACCTTTTTTTGCTCTTTAATGACCATACTTCATAATTAGAAAAATCTGATAATTTTATAGAATTTAGTACATTTTTATGAAATCTGGTACATTTTTTAGATAAATCTGGTACATTACAAAAATATATTCTGGCAACACTGGCGAGAGTACCTGGGAGCACGTACTACAAATTATTCAAGTGATATCGAGGACTGGACGCTGAAATATAATTCATATATTTTGACCTCCCTCGTACCTATATGGTACAAATTTTTTAATATATATGAAGTTTGTACTGGGTTTTAGATCATAGACTAACTTTTATCCAGTAAAATTTTATTAATTAATTTAATATTTTCAATTTGAAGTAAAATGTTTTTTTGCAATACTAAAATTAACAAAAACAAATACTGAAGAATGACGACTAAACAACGTTTCGTACAATGTTCTACAGAGGGAATATGGCTTAGCTTGAATCCCCAATACTGTTTTGACTAATTTTGGATTGGAATATATTTTTTAGCCAGCAGCAAACAATTCAAAAAACGGAAAAGGGCAGCGGAATTTTCAACTTCCGAAGAAAAAGTAAGAATAAGAGGTTCAATTTTTTTTTATTTGGTATTCCACAGTTGGAGCGGCGAATATTTACCCGTGTTTCATATATGTACGAGGGTTGATTCGCATGCTGTCAAATTACGATCGAAATATATTATTACAAGTAATGAGTGCGGCAAAATATAGTCAGCTATGGAATATTGTTAGTTTTATTTCTTTAATAACCGCCAAAAGTTTTATGTGAAAGTAGAAAGATACAAATTTTTTTTGACGGTTAGAAAAGACTTCGAAAGAGTATCTAGCTAGGGACTTGGAGACGAAGAAAAGGAGACCAAGGAGTGGCCGTAAGACCTTAAAAAAAGCATCTGGAGACCCGAAGACGAAGAAGAGGAACTGAAAGAGTGGAGTAGAATGTTGAACTAAGCCTCTGGAGACTCGAAGAAGAAAAAGAAAAAGAGGAGCTGTAGAAGTGACGAAGAATCATCCAGTTCTTTCAAGACAAAAATACTCGACGAAAAGGAAATAGCGACGTCTTATTAACATGCACAGTAACATTGCAAAAAGGACCTGTGTTTAAATCTTCGTCATTAAGGGGTCGATTTGATCGGGAGAAACGTTCTTCAGTATGAAATGACATTTATATGTCATTTACTATAAAACATGCGCAGTAGGATTATCAACAGGGCCTAAGTCTATATCTGCGTTATTATTGGCTCAATTTAAACGGGACAAACGACATTTAGTTTGAAATGTCATTAAGACGTAAAGCTTTTAACATTATTAATGATCAAGGCAGATTATATGAAAAAACAAAGTAATTATTGAAATATTATTTTTATTATAAATAGGTTGGTAACAAAACATAGGAACCAACCAGTGGCGGCTCGTAACCAAAATATTGGGGGTTCCCAATGACATATTATAGATCTTAGTACTGATTCAGGTAAGAAACTTTGCGTTTAAAAATATATTACAAATCTGTACTGAGATCTATATTCTGTCACTGTGCACCCCTAATATTTTGCTCACGAGCCGCCTTTGCAACCAACCCACGTATGTTTTTTTATATTATGTTGATAACGCACGGGTAAATATCGGCCGCCCCAAGTGCAGGTACCTAATACTTTTTAATTGATTTTTTATAGAACTATTGTTTTTGTTTAGATTTTAGAAATACCTTCTTCCATCGAAGTCATAAATTCTTCCTCGGAGGAATCGTCTTCGGAGGAAGAGAAAGAAATAGTGCGGAAAAGCAAGCCTAAGATGAAAAAGGGAAAAATCGGAGCGCAGTCAGAAGAAGCTCTTGTAACTATTTTAATTATATTAATTTACTTAATTTTTGGTTTATTATAGACAGTAGCTCATATAGATTATTTTTCCATAGGGTTTCAAAAGTTAAATCTTTATTCTAAATATGTATTTATTTGGATAAAGATAAATCAGAAATAACGATAAAAAATGTGAGAATTTTTTTATTTGTTACATTTTTTCCCTCTAAAAAATTCTAAGTACATGTTGTTCACCCCCGACCATGTACCTATCTATTACCAAGCAAAAAACACGATATGCCAATTTTTGTAGTCAGATGAGAAAGTATAACGATTTTAACAAAAAAACTGTTAAATATACAAATTTATATGATTCAAAAAAGTAACTAACACAAAACTGGTCATTCAAATAACTTTTTATTGTTAAAAAAATAACACAACAAATCACGACCGTCACGTATAAAATATTGACGGTAAAGAAGTTCGTGTGTCTACATGCGGCCATTTTGCTTTCTATCTGACATTTCGGATTACTCAATTTTATGTGCAAGCAAGGAAAATTGTGAACTATAAAGTGAGGTATAATTTACGAGTAAAACGTTTTGATAGGCTAAAAGAGGAAAAAAAGAATCTGCAGCTGTGAAAGGTGTAAAATTAAAATTAGAAGGGGATGAAGTAGTCAAAGAAGGCGAAATGACTGAAGATGAACTGGTAGCAGAATTCATAAAATCGAAAGCCGGGCATTACAAACCGCCACCACCGTTGCCAGATCGTAAGTAAAACCATTGCAGGTCCCACAACTCTGAACTGTATTTAATAACGTAATAACTATTTTGAAGTAGAGAGGTATTTCTTACGAAAGCTTCCTGGGGCCACTTTTTTTATATAAAAAAATAATATCTCACAATTGTGACTTAATATCTCGCAATTGTAACTTATTATCTCGCAATTGCGACTTTTGTAGTTTCTTTGTCTATATTTTAAAAATTTTTGGAAACATCACCTTTGTTTAAAAAGACAATTATCAATTTTTTGTGAGGAAACTTTTACAAGTCTGTTTCTATGTCCAAATTTTGAATATTAGGTACATTTTATACAATTTTTTTAATTCTGGCAAAGGAACCCTCGAAGTGAAATTATCTCGTATACATTTTTTGCTATTTTTTTTGTTCATTATGCCAGTATCTTGGACGATGGAAATATAAAATTGATAGTATTATCGCTTTTCAGCCATAAAAATGTAAAACAATCATTTTAGACTTTTATATTTAAAATCAACTATATGCAGGGCCTTTAATTGAAATTTCTCGTCAGAATAATCTTTCTAGCGCCTTACCCCCACTTTTATATATAAATATGGCATATTTCTATTTTGGAAACTTAAAAAAATATGTATAAATATCAAAAATGGTAAAACTTTTAAACTGGTAATTCCTTTACACTCTTGTCATGGTAAAGTAACCAGCCAATGCAAGGTAACACTCTTCTACGATATTTTGATATACGAAACCTACAAAACATAACTTTTTGCTAATTTTATTAATTATATCGTTCTTTGAATTTTAAAAAGTTGGCATTAATCTACAAAGTTATCGAAAAATGTCAAACGTAAATAACATGAAATAAATTTTAAATAGATAAGCTAAAGTTACTAGATTACATGTCAAATTTTATTAATTTACATACAGTGTCAGCTATTGGACGCTTTCCAATATGCTTTGCTAATGTCAAAGTGAAAACCATAGAGTTAGTATTATATTATTACATTTTTAAATGATGGTGACTCATCGAAGGATTATGGTCGGCAGGCAACATTGTATTTCTAGAATTACCCACAATCCTCCTATGCAGCGGCGTAACAATGATTCGCGATAAAATGCTAATATTGAATAAGCTTTAATTGACACAATTACCTCCTTTCTGTTTTTTTTTTTATAAAGGTCGGTTTATTGCCTATATTTGTTATGTCTAAATTATTTGCCATAATAAATTGTAGTATAGACTCACCTCTTTCGTTGGTATCGGTGCTCCCCCAGATCCTGTGGTGTGCGTTTACATCACAGCCAATGATCATCTGCATTCCGTTGCGCCTGCAGAATCTCACCAGCTCCTCCACTTCTCTGGTAGGTGTTGCTTCAGGATCGTTTGAAGGTAGATATGCTGATCCGAGTATTACCTCCTTCGGTCCATTTCCTGCATCGATCTTGATTCTGACTGCTGTTAAATCTCTGGATCAGAAATTAGTTAACGGCAGAATTTTTATGCCTTTTTTGACAATTATGCAGGTTCGAGGGGTGTCTATGGATCTGTCATATATTAACTCTCCACACAACCCTCCTAAACGTCTTATTGTATCATGTCTAATCCACGGTTCTTGTATCAGGGCCACTTCAAACCTCCCCATCGCCACTGTAAGTACAGCCGAAACAGCCTTACAGTGCTAAAGGTTGATCTGGATTATCCTGATCCTCGCCAGGCCGTCTTAGGACCCTGAAGGTCAGCCTTCCTAGCTTATAATAGGACCGGAATTGTGATCTCTCGAGGGCCCTGTACGACGCTTCGTCAATTGAAAAGGCTAGGAGTTGCCCTCGATTTTTAATTTTCCTGCTCACTAAAAGCCAGTCCGGCTGCTTCAGTTCCGTATTCTGTAGCTGAAGAAATCTCCTGACTTTTTCGACCTCGGACTCGTCCGGGATGAAAACCAGAACCCTAGGTCTTCTCGGGAGGTCCTTAGATTCAACTACGGTCAAATCCGCGCCCTCCCAAAGGTTTCCCAGAATGCTGACCGTCCTCCTTAACCAGTCCGCGGTCTGCTGGTTAGCGTAGGTCATCCAAATGACCCCTTCGCTAAACGATGTTCTATGAAACTGTGGTGCTCCTCCACTGCTTTAAGGGGCAACGAGAGTTTCTTGTACCAAGTCTCCTTGTGCTTGGTCTAGGGTTATATCTGGATGCCTTCTCTGGATGACAGCCAGTCGGGTACCCCTCAAAGTGTCGCTGTACGAGCCAGCCAATGCCGGAGTATTTCTGGCCCGCTTGGTTCCACTTCGAGTGGGGTGAGTCTGCGACTCAGATCGGGGCCTTTTATCCCCTTTCTTCGTTTGGTCCTCCCTCCGTTGGGTTCGTTTTTGGGCTGCATTCTTGTGAGGATTTTCCTCCGTCCACGTTCCTGCAGCCATTTTCCTTTTCTTCAGAAGCTTCTTCCTCTCCGCTCCTGAAGGTCTGTTAGCAGGCTTAACCTCTGCTTTTTCCCCGTTTCTTTTGTTTGAGAGCCGTCGTCTGTTTTCACAGATCCTCCTCCTGCTAAGAGGTTAGAGTCCTCTGCTTTCGCAGTTCTTCCTTCCCTTGAGTTGTCGGAGTCCAAAGCTAACGCAATCTCTCCGACAGTCATGTTCATGGAGCCTGAGTCGTCTGTATCCGACTCTTCTCCTTGGGTGTCCATTTTGTCCAAAATATTTGTACTCATTTGTTCCCACGAGTATGGGGGAATTGGTCCAACTCTGCAGTGCTTCCCATACAGAGTCAAGGCTGGCTACTTGGGGGTTTCGCCCGGTTCCCCCAAGGGAACGTTCGCAAACGCGTATTAAGCTCTGCGGCCATTCATCCTTAGGCACGTTACCTTACACCGTGGCGTTGGGCTTTGCTGGAGTGCCATTTGGTTAGTCAATAGTAGTGCTTTTTAAAGCATCGCTATTGGCCTTATCCAGTGGTGCCACGAGGAGGCAGGCACTCGATGGTTGCATTTCTCCATCGTCCTGTAGAAAAGTTACCTACCCACAAAGCGGGCGTGTTAAGTGAGTGTGCAAGCAAGCAATCTAAACTACAAAGTAATGGCTAAGCTACAACCAACCCCACGCATTTTACAGTAGAGCCATTTAAAAATAGTGTTTTTGGAAAATTAATTTTTTTCTCAATAATTTTTTTGTTGTAATAACCTTTGGTATGTAACTTTTGTGTGAGGATACATGGAGTTTAGAAAACAAAAAACATTTATTGAAAAAAAAAATAGTGGAAAGTGAAATTTAAATGTCATGTTTTGCCAAGATGGAATGGGATGGGATGTGTAGATATCCACTACACAAAAAAATGCATATTTTCTTATTTATTTGGAAAAAATACAATAAACAACATGAAATTATTAACTATTTAGATAATATCTTCTGTGGCGTTTTCATTAACATTCAGATTTTCGTAAAATGGATGATAAGCCGTGTCTATGTATTTTAAGAGCGACAGCAACTTCCATTTTTTCTTAGGATTTATAGGTTTGGGGCCGCTGTAAATATACTTTAACTCTGGATCATGTTTTCCTCTTCTTTTTATGTTAGAACGAGTAAATTGCTCATTGCGAATATTTAACTTCAATAATTTCAGGCCAACGAATATTTTGGCCGGATTCCGTGGCATCACGTTTCACAAACACCGATCTCAGAAGAAAAGAATATGCCAAAAAGTCTTCTTTTTGCATCTCAATAACTTAAAATTTTTCCCCTCGGACAGTTCTGACATACTGATACCAATCATGGAGGATTTTAATCTCAAATTACCCTAATGATTTTTTTGCTCTCTCGATTCTCGCATGGTCCGCATACCATTCCAGTATTGAGTGGCCAACTTCTAAAAACTTGTGTTCTATGACTTGGAGATTTTTACATGAATGTAAAAACCTAGACATCGCTGCAGCCATAATATAATTTTTATTTTGACCAGGGCAAAAATCTACTACTTTAGTTACAGTTGATGGCAAATTATTCAAACATTTTCTAATGCAGAAAGCAATTTGGTTAGCCCCACGATCTGTTATAGCTTCATACCACATAAAACATGTCGCATTATGGAAATTATCTCGCGTTACACCAGTTTATAAAAAGGGAACCAAAGATGATCTTCACAACTATAGACCTGTTAGCATACTTTGTAATTTCTCCAAAGTATTTGAAATCATTATTCATACATACTTATCTAGACATCTTTCGGGTTCATTATCGCAATACCAACACGAATGTATGAAGGGTAGGTCCACTGTGTCGAATCTTGTGTGCAAAACACAATTTTAGGCTTTAGATAGAAGAAGTCAGGTCGATGTTATCTATACCGACTTTTCTAAGGCATTCGATAGAACTGATCATCAAATCCTATTAGAAAAATTAAAGTCTAAGGGACTATCTGATCTTCTTCTTTTACTTATCGATTCTTACTTAGAAAATAGACGTCAGTACGTGCAACACCAAGGATTTAGATGAAACCATTTTAAGCAAATTTCAGGTGTACCGCAGAGTTCGGTCCTTGGGCCCCTTCTTTTCATAGTTTTTATTGATGACATTATTTGCAAAAGCATAGAAGTAAAATACCTAATGTATGCTGATGATTTAAAAATGTTTGCTGAAATACGGAACTTTGTTGATTGCACAGCTTTACAAAGTTGTTTAGCTGAATTATTGATATGGTGTACTAAAAATTATTTGCATTTGAATCCTAGTAAATGTAGTGTTATGACATATACTAGGAAAAAGTCATATTTCACCTTTAGGATTATATCAACATTAAAGTACCCCGCCCTGGCCTTAGAATATACTTAAGCTTTTACTTGCCAGCTGCAAATACAAATATTTTGAACGGTTCTCCAATTTTTCAAATGATCAATAATTATCATCGCCTTCAAGACAGTTTGGATATTTTTAGTTTTAGGAAAATAGATATTGTTAGAGCTATTACCATAGAAACTGAGTAGGTGTTTATCCTGCTTGGTATGTTGATAATATAGTGTATTTA